TAATTAAGTTAGACGTTCAATAGTGTATGCAGATTGAGTCTAACTATTCAAATTTTTGAGATATTCGTTTTTCTGGAACAATCATCAACTTCATCACTTCTTATAGCCGTCATACTGGATATTTATTATACCATAAATAGTCCAGCAGGCAAGTATTCTCTGCTGGAAAGTATTCCGAAGTTAAACCTATTTGATATTTTGGTATGTCATTTGTGGATAGTCTGTGGAGTAAAATCTGAGTTTTCCACCTCGATTACCTTGTGTTAGCTTGAGGGAAACCGAAAAACCACGATATTTTCGATCTTTTTCAGTATTTTGCTTATATTTCCGTTGATGAACATTAAATTTCCTTCAAATTTCACTAGTCGAAGGTATTATTCAACGCAATTGTAACCGAGATACAGTGGTTCAAAGATACAGAAAAATTCTCAACTTGTCAAAAATTTCTTCCGGCCGACCACAATTCAAACCATCAAGCATGGGATAAACATATTTTATCCTCATCTCTTTCACGTGCATCCACAGACGATGTCTACTGTGCGAATGATGCCGCGAGACTCGAGACTGGTCTCGTCTCGTCTCGTCTCGATTTTTCGAGACGAGACTGGCTTTTGGTCTCGTCTCGTGAAGTCTCGACGAGACGAGACCAGACTCGGCGAGAGTCTCGTGTAGTCTCGAGTCTCGAGAGTAAAATTTTTCTTTCATAGCTTTATCATTGGACTATTCTGGGCTATTTGAATATGAAATCAGTAAATTAAATATCAGGGTTACTCTTTACTGTGATTTTTCACTAATTGCTTTTTCACTGTGGCAGTTTGAACTTCCGTTATAATATAAAAACAGAAACCATAAATACAGGGTGTCCGAAAAATAGCGTAAAAACTCTCCACGTAGTAAAGGACCCTTTGAGACACCCTAGAAAAATAATTAAATTAAAAAAATCCTTCTCCAGCATTATTCTCAGTAATATGAAGAGGTAGATGTGAAAATTCACCTTCGAATTCTTCAGGTAGTTAGGTACATGAGTATTTAATTTAATTCTCTGACATATTGTCAACGGGATATTTTCAGTGTTACCAATTTTAATAAATATTAAAATGCAAATAACTATCTTAAGAATGCCACTAGATTTTTTAAAGTATTTTTCTGGGGTTCCTTGTAGGGTTCTCCACCACGTAGAGAAGAGTTTTTACGCTATTTTTTGGACACCCTGTATAACTCGAGACCAGACGAGACGAGACTTTGGTTCTCGAGACCGAGACTAAACCACGGTCTCGTCTCGAGATGTCGAGACGAGATGAGATCAACCCTAAGTCTCATCTAGTCTCGTCTCGCGGCACCACTACACCTGTGTTATTTACCGCATTAACCGCAACAGAAACCTCGATATTTTCGGACTTTTCCAGTTTTTTGTTTATATCTTCTCAACAAAGTTGAAGAACTTCAAATTTCCTTTAAATTTCACTGGCCAAAAGTATTCGATCCAATAGTTACTGAGATATAGGTAGTAGTTTAAAAATTTCAGTAATTTCTCAGGTTATCAAAAATAGCATAGAAATGCAGGTTTTTGCCCTATAACTTTCTAAAACACAAAGTTTGACGATGAGTGCAGTAAAGATCGTCGATATTGTTCTACTACTTTGGGGCTTTGGTAACTTATGTCAACAGGATACCCATCAAAAACTACTATAGCATTGCTTTCGAAGTGTCTTTGAACATAATCCACGTAATTCTGGCACACCAATTTAAATGTCGCATCTCTCGATTTGCTCCATACAACCTTTTATGTAGCAGATACCCACCATCAATAACTGCACATTTGCTGCTGCCGAAGTCTACTGATTCTTGTACAGGGTGTCCCACTAAGGTCGGCCAGGTACGATATTATGGAGACCATAAACCTTACGTAACTTGAAAACGAATGCAGATATTGAATTGCGGTTTGCGCCAAAATGTAGATATTTTTTTGCTCTTTAAGCACAGCAATACAAAAATAATATTATGCCATTTGGATTTTTCATGAAAATTAGAAAAAACTGGATCTTGAATAAACAGCGCCCTCTAGAAGACGCGGTGGGAACTATCGACCTCGAACGAAGTGGTGTTCTTAATAACAATGAAATTCTCTTCCAAATAAACCCAAATTGAATGAGTTTGAATGAGGGGTATGGAAGATACAGCAATTTCTAAAAAGAAATTTTCACCAGCTTCCCCCACCCTTATTGCTGAAGATACGAAAAAAAGCCTAATAACCAAACTGGCGCAAAAATTAATGAACTTTTGATTTCTGTTATTAAAACAGTATCTTAAGATAGCGATTTCTTGAGAAAAGTTGAATTTTTAGCTATATCATCGAAATTGCGCCCCCTAGCGGTCATCCTAGAAACTTGAAAATAATTTCCATCAATTTCTCTTGGCCGATTTAGTCAAGACAAAAAAAATCCCGAAGCCGTAAAGTCTATGGTTTCCATATTATCGTACCTGGCCGACCTTAGTGGGACACCTGGTATAGGAGTGAATGCCGCATACAAAATTGACTTTGTGCCCTTTTGTGCATACCTCCCTCTGTGAAGAGAGACATCGGGAAGGGGGCCAGCTCGTATTTCAACAAGTTTCTAAGGTCATCATGTGATTGTTTTATTATGCAAATTCGTTGAAAGAGAGTGAGAAGGTCTATCGTGAACTTTTTGTCTTATTTTTTCACACAACAGGAAACAGATGCAAGATAAACAACCTTATCTTTCCGCTTCAATTTCATGTCTTGAAAATTCCCTTTTTCCAAACAGGTCTTCATACAGGTGATACCAATAGTTCGAGCTAAGTAGCAGTTCACAACTTCAGGAGAAACAGCTCTTATGCCTATTGAGAATAGCTTGTATCTAGGAAAGGTGGATAGTCAGTAGATAGGCGAGTTCAGCACGCATGATGTCAAAATCAAAATCGAAATAGGTTTATTTTCCGAAAATAATTATTAAAATAGGATACAATAAAAAAATAATTCAGGGACACAGTAGACTGTGAGTGCACGTGAAAGAGACGAGGATAAAGGATATATGGGATAAAGGATGTTTATCCCATGTTTGATTTGAATTATGTTCGGATAGGAAGAAATTTTTGACTAGTTGAGATTTTGTTTTTGTATCTTTGAACCACTGTATCTTGGTTACTTTTGCGTTAAAGAATACTTTTGGCTTGCGCAGTTTAAAGGAAATTTAATTTTCTTCAACTTTATAAATAGGTGTATTCCGCTAAAGACCTAGGGTTTAGAAGTTATCAGCCAAAAACTAAAAAAGATAGAAAACTTCTAAGTCTTTCGACTTCCCCCCAAGTTAGCACAAGATCCTCGAGGTCGAAAACTTGGATTCTACTCCACAGACAATCCACAACATGCCAAAATATCATTAACTTAGGAATACTTTCCAGTCACTCCCTTCATTTATTACTTGCCTGCTGGCCTAAAAATAGATTAAAAAATTATAAAAATAATGATATATTGCACTTAACCAAAATAATTAATTTTGGCCACAGAAAATACGTTTTTATGTTCCGATCAACTTGGAATCATTTCTCATTTAACCTCCCTCGTATCTGTTATATAGTTTTCTGTATCCTAATACATTCCCCATCAATTTGGGACACACTGTATATAATAATGAATACACCGGAAAAATCGGCCATCACAAAGCGTTAAGCAAGCACAACGGTTATAATTCGGAAACGAGAAAAGGTACTGAGATGGGTTTCACTGAACTTCTAGATTTGCTTCAATTTTTTGCTTAGGTATTATCTATAAGGCCACTGACGCAATTTCAACAAAAACCTATCTGGGTTCAATTTATTTTTATTCTTTTAACTAAAAATATTTATATAACAAACCACATTTCAAAAATTCACCTTTATTATTATCATTGCCGAATTGATTGCCTAACCAACCTAAACCTAAAGCTCAAACGATAAGCTTTTACATTAAGTAACATCAATTAACTGAATAGGTATGGTAGCCAGCTATTCAATATTTTTTCTATGCAGCTATTAAACGTAAATAATATTACATTAGTTAATGAGAAATATTAACAATTGACGATTCTAGTGCTAAACTTATTTGATGTACCTATTTGTGTATTGCTAAACAACAATAAAAAAACATAAAAATATTACAAGACTTAATAAATTTTATGGAATACACCTGCTGACCTTTGCCTCTTAAGAAATAAATGCAAAAATGCAAAATTTTTCGAATGGTGCCAAATTGAAATTTAAAATAGATAAATCCAAAATATAGGGTGGCCCATCGAAAACTAATCTCCTTGGTTTTTATTTTAATTTTGAGGAAATTTGTTGTAATTTTCACCTTCATTATGTTGTTGCTGTCTAAATGGTTAGGAGTTTTATGCGATTAACTTTTTCTATGATGCTCAAGTTTTAAGGGAATGGATAGCAAAATCACCCTAATTGTCACATCCATTTGAGATTTCAACGGGATGGAATCCAGAAACTGTGAAGAACTTATGGCAATTTTATTACTAACGTTTAAACTGGTACCTACGTATTTCAGTACCTATTCAACGTCTTGGAAATTTTCGGTAAATAATTTATAAACATTTTCAGGCTTCTCAAGCATTTCCTTATTAAGTACCATTAAAAAGAGAATTTACTGCTCTCCAAATTAAGTAGGTATCCTACGCGACACTTCTTTTATTTTGAGTTGGAATGTTTTACAAATAATTTTTCTAAAAAGAAAAAAATGGAATGATGGATCACCCAGTATATTTTTTGTATGAATATGAGATCAGTTCTTTTGATGAAGGCTAACAAGCCACAGGTGTGAAATATTATCCAAATTCATCCTGTAGTTTGAAGGTGGTGGATTTTTTATAATTATATTATAGCTGATAAAGCATTTTTGAGTTTAGTTTAAAGAATAATGTAGGTACCACGCATACGTGCGGTAAAGTTTCAAAATTATTTTTATGTTCTCATTAAATTTTTAAAAATTGCAGGACATAAACGAGCCTCAGATCTTTCCGGAATGTGTAATTGCAAAGAATATGGTAGTGTTACAAAGGATTTGGATGGCCGTTCTATGCGTTCTACTACTCGAAGAAGATGTAGCTACCCAATCAAGACCAAAATCATTCCGAGATATTTTAAGAGAAATGACATTAGTAAGTACATAAAATATTATTGTTATTTTCAATGCACATTGCATAACAAAATGAAAGCAATTAAATTCTGTGCAAGCCTTTATTTCAATTCTACCAGGAGAAAGCTATATTATTGCGATTCCATAAGAATAAGGCTTAGCATACGAAGATCATGCATAAAACATTAAAAATTTGCGTACATTGATGGAATCACTTACATGACAATAGTTTTGCGAAATCAGCTTAATCTTTTTAGGACAACGTGGGAAATTTTTTAATCAAATACCCATGGCGCCAAAATGCCAGAGTCCAAGCCCAGTTTCCAAAATCCATGCCATTTCCATGCAAAAATTTAACGATCAATGGATTAGGCAGATCATCAGTTAGGCCCACAAGCGTTCACCGATTGAGACCTGGTGATATTGATGTGATAGCTGCTCTGGGTGACTCTTTGGTAGCTGGCAATGGAGCTTTGGAAGAATTTGCTATGGGGACGATGATTGAAAATCGCGGTGTCTCTTGGTGCATAGGTAAGACTTCCATACTAATTTTGTAGTTTGATTAGGCTCATTTTGCAATATTTTATACCTCAATGCATATTTTCTAAAATCGCTACTTTTAGAGAAATTTCAATGTTTTTTAAGTCAATCTACTCAATTTTTATAGTAAATCGCTTGTCCAATAAAACGATTTCTCTTTGAATACAGTAATATAATATAACGCAAGTCGTTCGGTTCCTAAATTATCCATAAGGATACTGTAAAGTTTGTTTCCTAACTAATTATTGAGTTTAAAAATAATTTTCCTCACAATCGAAGCCCTATTTTATGTTCTCCCGCTGCAGTGTCTTCTCATTTTCGTTCTTACTGGTACTCTGGTGTGTCCAGTTTAGGAAACGTAGTACTATACTTTGTTCAAGGTGGCGTCACCAACCATCTCTGAATAAGTCAAATTCCAAATTTTAGATGGAACTTTAATGCAGTATTTAAGTTTATAATATTTCAAGCAACGAGTTAAAAGTTCTCAGAAGATACTGCGAAATCACTTCCAAGTACATTTTATAACAAAACTACTTCGTTTTCGAAATATCGCATCGTTAACTAACGGCAGACATGCAGATTTTTATTTTGAACAAGAATTTGATTAATCATAGTGTGACGGTGCGCTTTCGCCAGGGTATACAGAATCCATGCCTAAAATTCCAGAAAATACTGCCGTGTTCAATAAAGAAGGCTATCGCGTTTATTCTGGATTTTGAAAGAATGGATTACGGATATATAAAGGCCGAAATTAGTTAGTAGTTTTAAGTTTTAAGATTGGCTGTGATATGACTTATATAGTGAATATTGTGAAGTTGTAAAGAGTTAAGTTCCAGAGCCGTGACATTGGTGTCAGAGGTGAGATATAATTCGAGGATTGCAAAGTGAAATCCGATTGCAGAATAGTGCGAACTACTGCGGACACTAGTGTGGACATTAGTGAACACTGGGACAGTTAGTCAGTGTAAGCAGTGACGATCACAAATAAAGACTTAACAACAAACAAGAAAAACAAGACGAAGAAGCCAGGCGACAAAAAGAAAAACAAGAAGAAGAAGAAGCTAGACGACAACAAGAAGAGGCTAAACGACAGAAAGAAAAACAAGAAAAAGAAGCTAAACGACAACGAGAAAAACAAGACGAGGCCAAGCGATAAAAAGAAAAACAGCAAGAAGAGGCTAAACGACAAAAAGAAAAACAAGGAGAAGAAGCTAAACGACAAGAAAAAAAAGACGAAGAAGCCAGGCGACAAAGAGAAAGACAACAAGAGGAGGCTAGGCGAAAAAAAGTACGGCAAGACGACCTTGGACAACTGCAGAAAATATTTCAAATCATACAAGGATCTGTCACTAACCTGGAACCAAAGATTAAGGAAGTGAAATCCGAAGTTAAATAAGATGTTCAAGAAGTTAAAGACGATGTTCAGCAATTAAGACAAGAAGTTGAGGACCAAATACCTGACAAAAGTGGTCGCAAAGAACCAGCGAGATGGGGAAAAACATTTGCCTTTTTTTTTAATGGCTTACAGAACAGCTGTTCACGAGTCAACAGGTGAAAGTCCAGCTAGAATCGTTTTTGGAAGGAAACTCAGGCTACCTTGCGATCTGATGTTTGAAATACCTGAAGAAGAACGAAAAGAAATTCGAGATTATGCCGACGAAGTAAGGGCACGACTTCTAGGGATACATGTTTTAGCTCGGGAGCATATTCAGCTGGCCAGTGACCGAATGAATACCGACTTGAAAGCCAATTCATCCGGATTTCAAGTGGGTGATTTAGTATGGCAGTATAATCTAGCAAGAAGTGTCACCGATATTTTCTTCAGCATGGGAAAGACCCTACAGAATAATCAAGAGGATTAATGATTTGGTTTATCGAGTTCAACGCAATACCAGAAGTAAGATGAAAGTTGTTCATCTGGACAGATTGACGAAATATAATGGGCGTGAAGTTGATTGGGACGATCAACCTTAAGAGGAGGGCAATGTGACGGTGCGCTTTCGCCAGGATATACAGAATCCATGCCTAAAATTCCAGAAAATACTGCCGTGTTCAAGAAAGGAGGCTATCGCGTTTATTCTGGATTTTACAAGAATGGATTACGGATATATAAAGGCCGGTATTAGTTAGTAGTTTTTAGTTTTAAGGTTGACTGTGATATGATTTAGATAGTGAATATTGTGAAGTTGTAAAAAGTTAAGTTGTTTGAGTTAATTAGTGAAGTAATTAGTGTCAGAGAGTCTAGTAACGTGGAATGAATTATTGTTGTGTTGATTGGACTTTGATTTTGGAATAAACGGACCCAAGAATTCTGTCACAAACCCCAGAGCCGTGACAATACTAATACAATTAGAATTGCTGGAATCTGGAAGCTGCTTTATAAATTGATAATTATTATAAGCAGTGTTGGCATTGTCGAAATCTGAATGAGGTTGCGTTTAGTTTGGGTTAGTTCATGCTATGGTTATGCTCTTTGTTCTCAACTTCAGATACTACCTACTTACCTACCTACCTATTTCGCGAACAAAAAGAATTTGGGATAATCTGCAGATACTCACAAAATCTCTTTGTTCTGGAGTCGGTCTTATTCTAGCTGTTGTTTGTCTTCTTGTTCTTATTGTATATGTATTCTGGATTCGGTCGAGAAAAACAACATTCTTCAGATTTTCCGTCTTTTTCTTTGTGCAAAGTTTTCTGGAGGCGATCCTGTTGTTCTTGTTCTTCTTTTAGTCGTCCGCTTTCTTATTCATGCAATATATTTGTAGTCAGTCTCTTTGTTTCTTAGTTTGCAGAGAGGAAGTTTTACAATATCTGGCAAAACGGCCCGAATTCAGCTAGCAAGCAACAAACCTATCTTCATGCAAAAGCTGAGGTACAGAGAAGAAACAGAATGCTAAAAAAATATGGTGGTCAACGAAATCAATTATTAAATTGAAATATATAACAGCCTTTTTCACCGCCACAAAAGCAACGTATTGTCCCTCTACAAGAGCTGCAAATCCTCTTAGATCCAGAGATTGGATCCAGCTACTCAAAGATCCCAATTCTATTAACTCCCGATAGAAATAGGATTATCAGGAACTCTTGAACTGAGATTATCACCTAAAAACCCATTCAAAACCATCTGAAAGGTTGAAGAAGCTTTCAACCAACCGAAAAATAACATAGCTTCCGAGTCCCTGCTGAGCTTTTCAAGCTGGGGGCCGAGCGATGGTTGAACAGCTCTAGCGTCACTTGATTCGAGATAGGCGATAAGACATAGAGTTGTCAATGTTTAATTTTTCAATAAAACTTGATGGAATATATTTACAGTTTTCCACAGTTAGTTGTTGTGGATATCTTGTTCCTGTAGAGACCAGTGATAACCATAAACTTTTAAATTTCTTTATTTGATCAAAATTAATTAATATGCATAAAGTATCCTGATTTGCCTATTCAAGAGTAAACAACCACAAGCATGTGCACTCACAATAACCCCAAACTGTAACTGAAATTTACTTTTTCATTCACTTTGTAATCAATGAACCTGTGTTCTATGCTCATCATATTATCTTATTTGACATTCGGAGAAGCGAAGGGTATTTTTGCTGAAAGAAATGAAAAGTTTCTGAGACACATACAGTCAATATAAACTCATTTGCTATGTCAGCAACTATCATTTTTACCTTCAATTTAGAGCTGCCTATCCCCAGAGTCCCTGTAAACCTTGTTCGACTCATCCTTTGCCATTGAGGTTGCCTCAGGCAACAAGATTTTCACAATTCCTCTTGATGGAGAAGACCTTTAATTTGGAGCTTGAGTGGTCGTCAACGTTCTACCCCTAACATTTTTGTGATGTCTAGAGCAAGTGGAGCCACTTACTTCGTGCGGATCGGTGTTTTCGGAACTCGTTCGTCGCTCACAGCTTCTACTGTGGTGTGCTTCTTCGGAGTTGGTTGTTGGTTGGGTCATACATTGCGATTTTTGCGTAATATTTTTTCGTAGAGCCACATTTGAAAAATATCTGCCTCTGTGCTTAAGCTTTTCTGGGATATTCTTACTACCTGAATGTTGCTGTTTCTATTTAGAAGGGCATCTATCCATCTTCATCTCCAGTTTCCTATATTTCTTCTTGAATTCTTCATGAATCTTCCCTATTTCGACTTTGACTTCTTCTCGGCCGTTCCTATCTGGCACTCTAATGGTTCTAATTCACATTGCCGACGTTCCTTTCAATATCTCGCTCTTTCTATTTCCGTTCGTTTTTCTTGTTCCTGTAAAATTTTCTTGAGCCGGGTTCTTATTACTGAAGTCTGCTTTTTTCTTCCAGTCGGTCTTCTTCATCTTTTCTTGTACTCTTTTCTCTTCTGCAAGTTCTAATAAATCGAGCACCTGGTATTATATTTGATCTTACATTTCGGCGGTCTGTTGTGTGATTTCCACCAAAGACGAAAATTACCTACTTCACTATGCAACTTCTGACACCGTTGTCTCACACTTGAGGGGATTCGTAAAGCAGTGAGACTACTTTGCCAAAATAAATTTTATTATTAAAGAAAACACTAATATCATTGCCATACTACAATACGCCAAACTACTTTAAATTAAACTCAACTGTTCACAAAACTATATAACTTTACCCGAACGCTCCACCACCGTCCAGTTAAGACACACTCAACTCGCTCAACGTTCAATTCAAAAAACTGCTTCTTCCGCTTCCCGAGCGGCTCAAACACCAACTCAATAAGGCTTCTCTAATGATCTCAGAATTCTCAATTTCAAATCTCCGGTAGTAGGTACACCAATAACTCGCCGGCTACATGAGAAGGCCAAACTCCCCGAAACTGGTCCCTAAAAAAAATGTTCTGAGAAAACAAGACGGCAATATCAAGTGGTTCGTTTATCAGTGTTCCGCATCACTTTGGCGATCAGGTCAAAAACATTTGTAGTTTGGTAGGTGGCTTAACTTTGCTATTTACACAAGAAAGTGTTTGATACAGTTTTTATGCATAGATTTCTAGACATACAAAATGTAACTATCTGAAAAATTAATAGCTTCTAGATAATAGATATTGCGTTTCCAAAGGAATATATCGAATTACCAATAATCTTGTATTTTGGTTACCAATATAATAATTATCACATACCCAAAATAATGCTCCCATTAAATTTTTGAAAATTACTTTAGGAGGCGAAGCGACCTGGAGACAATTCCTTACTCTGCCGAATATCCTAAAGGAATTTAATCCTAACCTTCGAGGTTATTCTACAGGAACTGGAGAATTTCTATCATCTAATGCCAAACTGAATGTAGCCTTTCCTGTTGCTGCTGATGCTGATGCTTTTCGACAAGCCAAAGTTTTGGTAAGTACCTACCTACTGGCCAAAGCCTATAAAATAAATAATGCTAAATATTGTACAGGTTAAGAAAATGAAATCTGACCCGAAAATCAACATTTACGAAGACTGGAAAATGATCACTCTATTTTTTGGTGCAAACGATATTTGTTCGGCTCAGTGCTACAACAAGGAAAATGCTTCCGCTAGAAGTCATGCTTTGAAACTAAGACGAGCTTTGGATTATTTATATGAAAAGTTACCGAAAACATTTGTTAATTTAGTTCCTGTTTTAGGTAATATTTTCTATGTTCAAGAAAATTGTACTTTATAAAAACAGAATATTTCCAAAACGGATAGACAAACAAAATGTATACCTAGTAGAAAGTTATGATAGAGCCCAAATTCAAAAAGTTTTAAATACATTTCCGTTACGTCAGAGAGGAAAATAGGAGATGATTTGTATATTTCCAGTAGGACAATTTTACTTGTAGACAAAAATACGACCCTGTCAGAAAGTGACATTTTCTTCTTCTATTGTAGATTGTAGATTGTGGGGGGAGTCGTTTCGGCTTTCCAGCTGCTCAGCACTGCTACCTTTGCAAATATTTTGTACGCGACTCTATATCTTAAATTGTCTCCAGGAAGCGTAGACTCCTGCCGAAGGAAGCTGTTTTTCTGGGTGTCAGTTGGCCCACTTCTTCTGGTGACAGTGTTGCCCCCTCGAGGAATTTGAGCCTCTTGCAGAATTGGGCTGGATATTCGCCGAGCAGGTGCTCTGCAGTCTCTATTGCGTCTGAGCAGAATCTGCAGATATCGTCTTCTGCTCTGCCCATTAACCTCAAGTGGCATTTCAGGGGGCAGTGTCCTGTGAGCAGTCCTACGACCATTCTGATGTCTGGTCTGCTCATGTTTAGGATAATTACGATTCTTCTTCTATTAGAGTCAAGTAGGTATTTTATCAGTACATGTTGCCCTTCAAAGCAAATTTGTCATACCTATCTTTACACTCGCATTCAAAATACATTAATCGAATACTTAGAACAAATTCGCTCGGTAAAATAATTTTACCTACGAGCGTGCGGTAAAGTGCACTTTACCGCACGTATTTGCAAATGGAAAGTAGCACTTTACCGCATAGTGTGTGGTAAAGTTAACTTTACAGCATAGTATGCGGTAAAGTGGACTACAAAGTGTGCGGTAAAGTGCACTTTACTTTACCGCATAGTGTGCGGTAAAGTAGAATTTGATATTTATAATCAAAAATCCTTTCTTTTTGATCATTTCTTAATCTAATCTAATTTTAATAATCAATCTGATTCATTAAATAATTTTCTCAATGCCTTTTTTTGGAGTTATAGATGCTCATAGGTAAAATTTTGTACCTAACACATGCGGAAAGTGCCTTTACCGCCCTTGCACTACAGTTATTGGCGTCAGGCATGGTCGTTATGGGTTTTTTAGATCCTTTGTGACCCGAAAACTTTGTACGATTTCTCTTGCGATGCGTTTTCCTTGTTCCTTTTGACATGAAGTAAAGTACTGTTTGGCAAGCTGCGCCAACTTGTTGCGTCAAATTGTCGCAGGGACAACTCGTCGCCGTCTACTCGTCGCAGGGATAACTCATTCTTCACGAACAACTGTTAGTCGACCGGCGGCGACTTGTCCCTGCGGCGACTTGTTCTAGATCGATCCAATCTACCCTATGAATAAAAAAGAGCATTTGCTTTTTCTACCAAAATATGAAGAAAATACTTCATCCAGTTTGAATAAAAATTGAAGCAAAACCTTTTACTTTAAAGTAGAAAGCAAATGCTCCAGGAAAAAGCAAATACTCTTTTTCTTATGAATAAAACAGAGTATTTGCTTCAAATTGGAATTTGCTCCTTGCGAAATGCATCTGCTCCAGAGCAGATGTATGTTTACTATTTTGGTAAATTATTTCCAATTATTCTTACTTCCCGTTTTTTTGTAGATTGTAGATTGCATTAGGATTCGTTCTAGCTTGTTCCAGCCGCTCTAGTGTCCAAGATTTATAGGCTTCTCCCAGAGGAGGCCGGCTTCCTGGGTCTTAAAGTGCCCACCGATGTGCCCGCCTCCCCTTCAAGGTATTTCAGCCTTTTGCAGAAGTGAGCAGAGCATTCACAGATTAGGCTTTCTATACTTTTTGTTGCTGGTTTGCAAGATCTGCAGTGGTCGTTATCTGATTTGCTTATTGTTATTAGGTACTATTTCACCAGGCAATGCCCAGTGAGGAGACCAACTTTCTAATGTCTTTTCTGTTATTGCGAAGTTCTTCAGATCACATATGACCTTTATCATATGTTCACTTCTTCGTAGACGTGGCTTTTCATTAGTCTACAAAAAGGCTCTGGGTCTTGAAAAGATGTTAAAGCGCCTTGCTTTGTGAGACGGTTCGCCTTCTCGTTGCCCTCTATGCCGTGGTATCCTGGTACCCACATCAGGGTTACTTTATACCTCCCAGCCGGACCCAGCCAGTTGCTTAAGAATATTTTCACCCTCACAAACTAGCTGAGAATTGCACTTGATGGCTCCTAGAGCATTTAGAGCCGCTTGACTTTAGGACAGTATGCAAATGTGCTCTCTTAAAAGCCTCTTTTAAGATACTCTTTGGCACAGATGTTTATGGCCAGTACCTCAGCTTGAAATTTTGTGGGCGTTTTACCGATTGCTCAGGACAGTTTTTTTTAATTCTCCCAGGCCGACTCCTCTCGTTGGCTTCGAACCATCTTTGTGACTGTGTACCATAATGATGCGTTGTCCGCTTGCGGTAGCTTTGCGTTCTTTCATGATTGGAGTTCTTCTACAACCAATTCATATGGAATGTCAAAGTCCAGTGATGTTAGCATATGATCTGTTGGTTTACTTTGGCACTCAAGTCTTAGATTGAAATAACAGGTACCTACTACAGGTAGTATCTTTAACTTTATTTCTTTGAAGCATATGCTCGCGAGTAAAAGGTTTTCATTATTCATATGATATGAAGTAAATGCTTCTACTTCTACCTTTTACTTGAAGCTTTTGCTTATACTTCTACCTTTTGCTTAGAAGCAAATGCTCTATTTTTATTCATACGGCTGAATGACGTAATTTTGAGAGGATTCAAAATATTCTATGGTCTCTATAGCCTTACACAGTTCTTCGCTTTGTTCGCTCGTTATACGTAATATTTAGTCGGCTCTCTTTTCTATTTTCCATATTTTTCTTTTATTTTAAAAAAGAAGTATCACTTCTCAAAAATATAATCAATTACTCAAAAACTTGGTCTGTTTATCTGTTTCACTATTCTCGAATATTATCTAAGTACTTATTTAATTTATTTCCGAGTGATCCATATCGATGATTTTAGATGTATCGGTTAGTATCCGCATAAAAAGGACAATGATGTGCCACTTGTTCCATAGGCTATTTTGCGCTTGCTTCCATGAAGGAGGTAATGAAATGGATACGATTACTACTCTTACACAGGAATACCAACAAGCTGAAGAAGATTTGGTAATACATAGCTCTTTACGGAGAATTAGTAATTGTGACTGTTTTTTTTTTCGTAGATTTTTAGTGGTAGATACGACCAAAGAGACGATTTTACAGTAGTGATTCAGCCTTTTATAAAATTATTCAATGCTCCAGATGATCCATTTAGAAGATACGATGAAGTGATAGATATTTCTTATATAACGCATGATTGTTTTCATTTCTCGCAAAAAGGACATGCTCTAGGTAACCATTCGACCTGCTTATTATAATTGGCAACTACAATATCAAGATTTTGCTTCAATTTCAGCTGCTAATATGTTTTGGAATAACTTACTACAGCCAGTAGGATTGAAAAGCCAAAGAAAACTAAATTTTGTCATGGAGAAGTTTGACTGCCCCAAATCAGATATTCCATTTTTATTTACCAATAAAAACTCAAGGAGCTACTTGAGCACCGGTCAACAGTAATTTTTAAGTTTATTTTTTAAATTGTCTACCTCAAAATATATTTTTTTTTTACTTCTAACCTAAAAAATAGTCATCATTCAATTTATTTTTTTAGGATGAAATTGAAATTCACTTCCAAGGTGATTGATGATAATAATGAAGTTTTAGTTCAGCTAACTAACAGATCCCACATAAAAACCCGAAGCATCACTACCTAAAATAATTCCTCGCCACTTTCTCAAGATTTTGCATAGCTGCCAGTCCTCGAACAATTCCTAGATTGTTACGTCATACGAGTGGTTCTCGAGGATGATTATCTCCAGTCTACCTCATCCCATATGCATTTCTTTTGAAATTTCAGTATAGTGACAGCACACGAATCTGCTTAGGAAAATAACACACTGTACATGCATTCAATAATGAGCTTATTGCAAATCGACAAAACGCAGGACGTTTTGTTTTTGTAGATTTGTTTGAATGGAGATGGCGCAGAGGCGTCCTCTACCACTGCAACTTTGTCAGATTTATTGTAGAATCTCTTATCTGTCCTTAGAGTGCGTTCTCTAGACCCATCCTTTTTAATAGACTCAAGAGGCATGAAACTGGCCACTCCATGTAGCTTGCCGGATTGGGCTTTTCCTCTCCAAGCCTCGCAAACCTAAGCCCGCATAGCGCTTCGCAATGGCGACATACATTAACGGCAGTTTCTTCCGCATCCTGGCAGAACCTACACAGGCTATCCTCTGCCAGGCTCATTCTTTCTAGGTGCTTGTTGAGTTTACAATGCCCTGTTAATTGACCTACCGTTATCCTAACGCTGTGAACTTGGGGGAGCAGGATTTGATAAACTGCTTTGCCTATCGTTGTCCTGGGGTTCGCTCTTACCAGCTCTGGAACTCTCTGTCTATCCAGTTCTTGATAGATGTTTCAAAACTGCCTACAGAAATTCCGCCGGCCTATCATCTCAGTGGCCGAGCCTCCTTTGGCTAATTAATCAGCCTTTTCATTAACTGGGTGGCCCTCATGCCCTGGTCTGGTATCCAAGCTATGGTATGTTTATTGGACAGGTCCACCTCCTCTAAGGCTTGGAGCTGATCTTTTCGAAGCTGATCGCCTTTAGGGTCGCCTGGCTGTCCGAGTAAATAACGATGATTTTACTCTTAACTTTCGTTTCATTTATAAGTATGGCACAGTGCATTATTGCAATGATTTCCGCCTGAAACACCGTGACGTACTGTCCGAGACTTGTGGATATTTCCACTCTAGGTCTGTTTCCGTAGATACTGACTCCGACCCTCTTGTTGGTTTTGGAGCCGTCGGTGTACCAGATGTGGTCTGCTTTAATCGGAGGACCTTTCTTCTAGTCTTCCCTATCTGGTATGGCAACCCGGAAGTGCCCGCTAAAGATGAAAATAGGTGTGTTTTGTCTGAGAGCATCTCGAACAATGAGCTGACCTTTGGATCCTCCTCTATTTTCCAGCTCATGGTCCTTTGGTGTTTTATAATTGGACCCTGGCCTTGCCTCAGTCTATATACTGCCGCCTTTACTTCACCCTGTATGTAGATATGTAGTGGCGGCAGGTTTAGCAGCATATCCAAGGCTGCGGTTGGGGCTGTTTTTATGGCCCCCGTGATGCATACGCAGGCTAGCCTTTGCACACTTTGAAGCTGTCTGCTTGCTACGGTCTGTATGACCTTTGTATCCCTGGCAACCGAACCATAGGATATCATTGGTCTTATCACCATTTTGTATAACCATAGATTCATCTTTGGATTAAGTCCCCAGCTTTTTCCACAAAGCCTCTTTTGAGGAGGGGATTTCCGCTCCATTAAGCTCAGGATATCGAAGTCCTCTTGATACCCTTCTCTTCGTGAACGGGACAATTAAGATTTGCTGCGGATTAACCGCCAAGCCTTCATCCCCACACCAGATATCTACTATGTTCAGTGCTTTTCGAGTTCTTTCTGAGATATGTTCTAGATGCCTGCCTCTGACTACCAGGAATATATCATCCGCGTAGCCGAGGCAGTAGAATCTCTCTTTGGCCATTTTTGCCAGGAAATCGTCGACCAGGACCGCCCAATACAATAGCAATAAAATGCCTCCCTATGGGCAGCCCCTTCCCACTATTGCTTCTACTGTGTTCTCACCCAGAGTAGATGTAATTACCCTGTTTCTTATGGCCGTTTCCACCAACGCAAATTTAAGTTTACTTAACGTTAAGTGCCGCTTATATTATAATTTTGTTTCCACCGGTCTAACCTAGTCTCATTAAGATAAGCTTAACTAAGCCTAGACATTTCTAGGCTTATTCCTCCCTTAACAAAGTGGCGATGATAAGCGCAAGCAATTTGCATCATATATGTTTTTGTTGACACAACCAAACGTTAAAATTGAATTGAGATAAATAATGATCTCAATTTTCTAATTTCTGGTGTAGATACTCCGTCTGTTTTTATTTTTATTTTCGATTATGTTCTCATTTTTTGATGTTATTGATAGAGGAGAAGGTCCGAATATGGGCCACATTTTGTTTTTTGAAAATATTTTTTAGTTTTTTTCGACTAATTAACCTGTAACTTGGGAAATCAATTACTAAGAGCATTTACTTTATAGTTATAAACACATTTTTGAAAAAATCGTTAACATTGGGTACATTCAGGCGGTCCCAGCGGCTTAGCTTAGGCTCTTAGCAGGAACTTTATTCTCGAAACCAAGGAACAGCGTTCTCATTGGAACGAAGGTTCTGTCTTTGTCGTCCGGCATAACACTGATAATGACAGAGTAATCATTCTTATGAGAACGCTATTCCTTGGTTTCGAGAATAAAGTTCCTGCTGAGAGGCTGAGCTAAGCCGCTGGGACCGCCTGAATGTACCCATTAGTTCTGTGTTTTTCAACATACAAAAAGTGTAAATTTTTAAGATTTGCGTAAAGTGCTTGAAATATGAGCCACCCTATAAAAGTAACAAAAAGTCGTCTCAAACCGTGAAAATAGTTATTTATGCAACAATTGTGTAAAGTGAACCTTTTTTCACGAATGTGAATTTTGACGCACGAGCCGAAGGCGAATGTGACAATCACATGAGTGAACAAAGGTGCTTTACGCACGTATTGCATACAAATTTTTTTCTACTTCCAATCAAATATGTGTGAAAAATAGATTTAGACAAATACTTTACGCACTAGTGCATGAAGTATTTTCACTTTACGCACTAGTGCGTGAAGTCTAATTTCACGTCTTCTGAATAGTGTGTAAAGTGAGTAATTTACGCACAGTAGTAGAAAAAAAAAATTATTTCTAAAGAATGTGACATAAAAAAACTTATTTGCAAAAATCGCAAATATATTCGCCGCGTGTTCGCCGCGTTCTGTGTCCGCACAAGTCTCATGTGACCACATATGACACATCAAACAGCACACCCACAACTCGCCCTTGAGATCTTCAGAGAAAAGTCCTTCACAATAAATGTACGTTGCATCTTCATTTTCAGGAAGGGTTCCGAATTCTTCCACATCTTTATCCTTATCATCAGGAATAAATATTCCATCCTCTTCACTCTCAGACTCAGAGGGTTTAACAGTCTTCTTCGATTTTTGAGGTTTTGGTTGAGATTTCGATTTACCCTTGACCAAAGTTTTGCCAAACACATTTCGTTTTTCCCTTTTCACCAATATTTTTTATTTTTTCAACAGAAGTTTCTAAGTCATTTTTGTATGGAAAAGACGTTATAATTTCAGACAGAAGAATTTTTTCCACGATTAGTTACTTTCTTTTGTATGGAAGGTACTGGGGAAATCGCAAAAGGCGACACCAGAGATGGCGACACTAACGTGAGTGATTTTGACGGACCAGAATCGGGACAGGGAAACTCTTGGAACATCCAGGTTGCGTATTCATATTTTCGGAAAATGCAGGAAGGTCATCAACATTTCTAGAGCATCCGGGTTGGGGATCATTATAAAAAATTTCCGGGTCAGCAGATTTAGGATTTTCATTATTTTTAGTTGCTGGACTGGACACAGGGGAGGAACTTTGAGCTTGAGACGCATTGCTGGAGGTAGATATTTCTTTAGAATTGCTGCATCTTTTAACTGCTTCAGCTTGCTCAATAATAAAATCAGCATCACAAAAAATATCTAATAGCGGCACTTTTTCCTTTATTGTGTAGTTGAGTGTCCGGCTTTTTTTGAATAAACTGTTCATGTTTGTTTCTATTCCCCGACTCCACGCTGCTCTAAACACCTTCGTGTTCGTTCACACGCAATGCAGAATGCAGGATAAACTATGAATATCTAAACCTCTCCTCTATGAAATAAACCGAACCTGGACAACACTCAACAGCAACAATTATTTTTAATATTATTATTTTCATCTTATAAAAATTAGCGGGAAACGTCGAATGACAGATAACATTGACACGACTTGTATGTGAAAACGAAAAAGTACGCAAATATTTCACTTAAAATTCAATGTTGCCAAAGCTTTACGACACTTAGCTAAGTGTGCACTCAAAAACTATGGTGGAACGAAATTATATTTGAGCGTCCCTTAACTTTTAAGGGCTTCATAGTTAATCAAAGCTTAGTTATAGTTTGGTGGAAATGGCCATTAGTCTGGCTTCTATCCAGTTGCATGTATATGGGATATTCCTCCGCTTGAGTGCGTTGTTGGAACGTTGTTAAACGCTCCCTCTATATCTAGAAACGTGCCTAGCGCCACCTCTTTGTCATCAATTGACTTAATCAGGAGTCTGTTTAGATCATCCAGTGCAGAGTCCGTAGACTTTCCTGGTTGGTAGGCATCTGTGGTAGGCACACTGGTGATCGCTCAGAGAATGGAGCGTCAGTGTGCGGTCTCTGATGTATCTCTATTCACAATTTTTTTTCCAGCGTTTTATGCAGGAACGAGGATAGACATATATAGTCTAGGAGGCAGTGACGATTTTCGGTACTTATTTTCCCAGTCAGAAAACATAGATCGGATCCTGAACCACTTTTCTCTCTACAATTTTTCGATTTCTGGTCGTCTAACCCCACTTATCACATATCTAAGGCGAACTTTTTAAATTTGCCCCC